GAGCTAGTTGGTAGCAGACATTCAAGTCTTCTGAACTTCTCCAGCTCTAGCACTGTCCCACAGTCAGAGCTGGCCTGCCTGGTGCTGCCAGGGGTGGTGCATCTCTCCCGGGGTGTTTGGAAGCCAGCTGCTGATCTGCATGCACTGGCCCCTTTGCTGTGTGCCCAACTGCGCTAAGGAGTTTTCAGCGTGGGAGTGAGAACAATTCTGCCTGCCCTGCAGAAAGCAGGGACAAGTGAGGGCTCTGTCTTTACTCCCTTTTTGCCTCATCACCCTGCCACAGCATAAGCTTGGAGCACCGGGCAGAAGTGGAACAAGAAGTCAGACAGAGCTTACTGCGAGTGCTGTTTCCGTCATGTATGCTCTCATGTGGCTGCACCCTCACACCAACACCAAAACGCAGCAGCAGCAGCTCGCAGGGGTGCTGTACATGGCACTTTGCTTTGGATTTGTGTCTTCAGATTGTTCCAAAATGAGTCAAGGTGAGAACAGCCCACGGGACCTTACACTTCACATTTTAGCTGTGTCTGTTACGTACACTGTGCGTCCCGACTCCTGCTGCCAAACGCCCGCCTCGTCTGCCAGAGCAGAGAGAGGTGCTGAGTATGTCTGTTTTACAAGAGATGAGGTTGGCTACATCTCTCCAAAAAACCAAGTCGTAACCCCATCAGAAGTTTGTGGTCAGATGCAAATATGGCTGGCTGTGTAGTTTTATGTGCAGAAGGTTATACTGCGTGAGCAGAGAACTCTGTTTTTCCAGCCTCAAAGCCTGACCGTGCTGGTGTGTCCCAAAAGGCTCGCTGTCAGAAGGAGTGGACTCTAGAGATCATCAGCTTAAACTGCTCTTCAGCAGACCAATACATTCTGCTCTGTGTGTGCACACACACATGTGTAGATGTGTAAGGGCCTGAACATATATAAACAATTTCACTTGAAGAAAAAAGTGTGAGCTCTCCCATCGACCCCTCTTCGTCGTGCTGGGTTTTGCTGTGCAAGAACAGAAAGGAACAGAGAGTGGATTTCTTGTGCCGTGCAGACAGTTATCAGCTTGTGCCCTGCAGCACGAGGATTGATCACTCACACCATTTATAAGGTAGCTGGTGGAACAGGTGCTAGAAACAGGACTTCAGGTGAGGAATAAGCAGCACAAGTAGATAATCTGTTAAGCCACCAGCGTGCCAGCCTGCAGCGTTAGAAAGGTGAGCATGAATTTTGTGCCCTGTTTAATGCATATGAAGCTGTCAGATTATAAACACATCTATAAATTATTGTATTTTACTCTGCTGGAGGTGGTGCTTGGAAGCTGGCAGAAGACAGGCTAGAGAATACACTGAATCTTGCAGAGATGGATTCTGTTGGTTTACAGGGCTTTGTCTAACCTGCTTTCAGCTATTGAGTTCAAGAAGGTTTTGTTGTGTATTTTTACATGATGCAGACAGGGAGACCAAGGCTGGGAAAGCTTGCCAGATTTCAGCCAGCAGAGCAATGGCAGGCACAGAAGCAGAGCCAGGTCTGACTCCCAGGTCAAAATTCACCCTCTGAAGTCCATGGCAACGCTGACCACTGAGAGGGCAGATCAGGGGAAAGGCATCAGCATCATCCCCCGTGTCTGATCCACACGTACTGAAAGCAGCAAAACCTTCCTACTGATTTCAATGCTCGGTCCAGCAGGCAAAACTCTGTCCTCATTTTGTAACCCAGCACTCATTTTCCTCACACTGTTCTGCTTGGTAAATATCTTTGTTAGTTAAAGACAGATGCTGTTAGCTTACACAGAGAATAAAACTGGTGAGATAAAGAGAGCCCATCTTCCTCCAGCATGGGCACAACAATAAAAGAGAAGATGAAGAGGGGAAAATAAGAAACAGCATCCAAAAAAAGAAAAATTGTATAAGTGGGATTAGTTTTTCTTTCATGGGGAATATAGATGAGCGTTTTCAAGACCTACTGATAGCTCTGTATGCTGTGTGCTAAAATCCCTTTAGCTGCAAAGCCAACCCTCTCGTGCCCTTGTTTTCACTAAACCAACTGCTTCTTTTTCAGAAAGGGCAAAGAAGGTGGGATACAGGTTTAGTAAATGCTGCACTGCTCATGGAAGTGTTATTTTTTGAACGGCAGCTCCTGAAGCACTTTGAGCAAGACTGGTCTGCACCCTCAGAAAAGCCTCCTGGGACTGACCTCACAAAGCAAATGGGCACACAGAGGGGGCAGGCAACTAAAGAGGGTTTTTTAGAGCAACTAACTTCCCAGGGAAGCAGCAGGGAGAGTGGGCAGTAAATGGGAGAAGAGGAGATCCATCTAGGGAAAAGCAGCTAACTTTTTTTATGGCACTTTACATCTTCCAAACAAACTCAAGTATTTAATTAGGGGATCACCCCCTGAGTGGAGACATGTGGCACGTCCACCCACTCATTTTAGTGATGGCCAGCCTGAATTAGAAGGGCTGCTTGCTGATTCTTAGTAGCTAGGAGCCAAGTGGTCCTAGGTCATACCACTCTGGGTTTTTCCTCAGAAGCTTTGGAGGTGCTGCCAAAACCCAGCAGAGACCTGATTTGCAGTGTGCAGGATTTGGTCTGTTTCAGAGTTGTCAGTACAGCACGTGCGGCTTGTCCCAGGCTGGGTAACTAAACTTGGGTGTTCTGGGTCTAGCACCGACCAATCTAAACCTCTCTTTAGACATTGTGCTCCTGTATTAGTTGAACAGAAGACAAAAAATGCACATGGGAAATACTGATCTGTGTTTGTACAAAGAGTGATTTATTTCTTACGTTGTCATCTCTAAGACAGACTGCACCTCCTGTGACATTATCATACAGCTCTGTCCGTGTTGGCTTGATTTTCCCAGTGCTCTTTTGTTTCATGCCTCATCTTGGGAAGTGCACATCAGAAGTCCAGTTAGATTTCCACATGACAGGGCTCCTTTGGGCCATTTATTACTTGCGTGGCGTGGTGAAGGGGGAGGCAAAAGAAACGACGCATGAGCATTTCAGGCACTCCTCAGATGGTCTTTTAAATCCTTTCATACATTGTGGTCTGTCTGCATCACGGCTGACTTCTTTCTCTTTTAGCTGCAGTTGATGTGCCTGCTGCCCAGCAGCAGCCCAGGGTCTCGAGTGTGTTTACTACAGGAATTCACCAAAAGATAAAGCTCCCTCTGGCATTTTAGATGACAATTTGCATGTCTCTAAGCAGATCTACATCACACCCCCATCCCTTCAAAAAGAAAGGTCCTACAGGAAATTCTGACCCCATTAATCAGACCCTAATTCAATAAAGGGAAGAGAATTTAAATCCTTCATAAATAAATAAATGCTACTTCTTGTTTCTGTGTGGCACATAATACAGTGCTACAGGGGCAGCTGAAAGCCAGTGGAAATTCTTGCTGCTGCCATGCAGCCATCCTTTCCTGAGGTCAGCTCTGACCCTTTCTCAGGCTCGATCTCAAATCCTTTCCTGACTGAGAGTCAGTTCTGCATGCAGCTGTGGCTCTGGGGCTTTCCAAAGCCACCGTCTGGGAATCTGGCATAGCAGCAGAGTGCAATTTGCTGCGTGTGACCTCTCGCTAAAACAGAAAAAAAGGGTTGCCTATCTGTTAAAGAAGTGAAAATAGAACCAAAACAGAGCAGTACGACTCTCCCAGGTTTCTTTTAGTGCTTGGTAGGAGGAGAGTAATTGGATCTCAGAGGATGGTGTGCCAGGAAGGAAATTTCTTCCCATTTGCAGCATACAATCAGCCAGGTGCAATACGAGGAAGGGAGGTTCGTCTTCCTCTGAAGTGGAAGGTATTAGCCCCTGCCAGAGGCTGTGTACCAGAGATCAGATCAGATATGGCAAATTTTATGTTCCTATGCACATTGTGAAGCTTTCACTTCTACGCAACACATTATAGCAAGTCAAACAATGAGTCATCTCACAAGGGGGAAAAGGAAAGAAAGCGTTTATCTCCCAGTGGATTTGTGATAATCTCTCCACCTGAGCATAAACTGCTCTTCACCATGCTGCCTCCTCCCTAGGTGAAGCTGGTTTAAATTTGTCTGTAAAACAGTTACTGAATTGTCACACCTCCCAGGCCTTTCTGCCTGGCCCCAATGAAGGTAGCAGGCAAAAGGTCTTTGACTTGCATGGTAACTTGATGGGCCCCTGCGAGTAAACACAATAGCCCAGGCTGTATGTGCTGTACAAGCAGGCTGGCAGAAAGAGAGTGCCTTGGAAAATCTGTGCCCAAACCTGCTATTTTACTATAAAATGGCATGCCACCTTTGTGTGGGCAGAGTTGCATTGGTGATATTTTATCCTGATGCAGGAAACCCAAGCTGAAGCAGTGCTAAAGGTGCCACAGCCTCAGCATGTACCTTCCTTTCCTTTCCTTTCCTTTGCAGTGTCCAAGCAGCGTGTGGCAGCATCATGGCACCTGCAGGAGGGCTGGGTCCCTCTCAGTGCCTTGCTCAACCCTGCCTCCACCCATAACCACTTGCACTGCTACAGGGGCTGTGTTAAGCAGCCCTTCTTCACAGACCCCAGCCACCCAAAGGGAAGCAGGGCTATAGCTCACTTGCATCTGACTACTTTTCATCATTCTTGATGGGTGGCTTTGCAAGAGAGCACCCCTTCTTCTGTGGAAGGATACCCACCGAGCATGGATGGGGCCCAGGGCTTTGCCTCCTGCCTGCTCTGCACCTCAGAAGGAGCAGCTGGAGGAAAGTCCCACTTCACAGTGGAAACCTGGAATGAAGTAATGCCCTAGACGCTTTTTTCAGCATACTGAAGCAGTTCTTGTTTCTCCACATGTCACAGATAAACCAAGGTGCCTAAACTAATGAAGTTATTTCACAGTCCAGTGCTTAAAGTAATTCTGCATCAATGTGACATTCCACTCCTGCTCCTTCCCCTGAGACCTTGCACATTATGGCGTGGGGAGAAAGGGGGTTCACTGCTGGTTGCATATATTCCCATGCCTTGTCTCAATTTGGTAACACAATCATGGTCTCTTCCTGGCACAGGTTTGCAGCCCATTTACTGGAGCAGGGATGATGTGGCGCAGTGGCTCAGGTGGGCGGAGAAGGAGTTTTCCTTGAGGCCAATTGAGAGCAACACTTTTGAGATGAACGGCAAGGCTCTGCTGCTCCTGACCAAAGAGGACTTTCGATACAGGTCTCCTCATTCAGGTGAGGATTATTTGCAGAAGCTGTGTTTGAAAAGAGAGAGGTGGCTGCAACAAAATGTGGAGGGGGTCAGAGAAGGAAACGGTCGTATCTGTTGGGGTAGAGTGGGCAACGGGAGGAGGACAGAGACACTTGTATGAGACAAGGACAAGGAGGGAATGAAATCCTGATACGCCTGAGTTACAGGCAAATTTGAATGCAAACCCAAACTCAAACCTCCAACCTGGTTCTAGTTAAAACTCCCTGCAGAACTCCCTGAAAGCAAGCTTCTCTGGCAGCACTTTGTGACTTCCAGCTCCTCCCTGTAAAGGCTTATCTTTTCACAGAGCCAGCTACAGCAGCAAGTTAATAAAGTGCTCCAAGCCTCTTTAAAAAGCCCATATTAGCATTTTGCCTCACAGTTGGCTTGGCTGACATGCAGCTAAAAGTGACTGCAAAACTCCTCCCTGGGGGACCTTTCCTCTGTTTAATAGCCCCTGTGGGCTTTGCTTTGCTTTACCATATTCTCTCACATGCTGGAGTCCAGCCCAAGACCCAGCACAGCCAGGTGTGTGAATCAGTCTGCCTCTTGCTCAAATTATGTCTTCATTTATTCACAGAGGAGATTTAGAATGGTGTCTGTTGCCTGCCTGTATTTATATCCCCTGCGGTCTGTCTGCTCCAGTTTTACAGTCAGAGTAAGCCTCTGCCCTCCCTTGTCAGGGATGTTCAGCTGAGCTTTTCTTTCGTGACCATACAAGGTATTCCTGTTAAATATAAAGGCTCCTAATTCAATCAGCATAGGTGATCAAAGAGTTTGGACCAAGCAGTGACAAAATTCCTGGGAGGAGGCTTCCAGGGCAAGGCTAACTAGGTGCAGCCAGTGCTGCTTGGATCCAGCTGATAAACACCATGGCACTAATTCTGCATCAAGCTGCTTGGTGACTCCCTTCAACATCCCCCCACAACCATCCTCCTGCAGAATCTCTCACAAGCTGTGGCTTATGTTTTGTGTATATAAAGTTTTTTAAGCATGTGCTTCAAATCCAGAACTAATTTTGTATGGAAGGAGAAGCCAACCATCAGAGTCTGCAGACAGTGTAACGTGGTAGTGAAAACTGATGCCTAAAAACATATTTTTTAATTGTGGTACACCATTTTGAATTGTTTCATTAAAATATTAGCCCTGCTTAAGGCAAAAGGAGTATTGAAACTGGGGAAGTGTGAAAGGACTGTAAGGGACACCTTTAGGTATCTTGTCTGCAGCTCCCCTTATCATCCCAGTGCCTTGCTGCCTACAAGTTATGCCCCTGCTCTTCCCCTTGTGTACTGTGGGAGCCCTTGAAATGAGTAGGATTAAAATGTTTGTAGGCTGGCAATAGAGAGTTTCCAGAGGAGAGCCTCTGGCTTGCAAATCCTCACTTTATGCAGAAAGTTAAGCTCTTATTTACCTAAATTTCGAATTAAATAACCAAACTACAGACATCCTCCCTTGCTTTTTCTCTCCTCCTTCTCTCCAGGTATTCACTACTGAAAATAAACCTTTTAGAGGGTATCTTAGTCAGCCCCTAAAAATGTATATGACTGTAGGTAAAGGGACATTACCTCAACATTTCCCAGAAATTTTTTACATGAAATTTAAGAACTATGAAACAATGTTTGCCAGGGAGGCATTAAGTTTTTCAAGACTGTAGCTACCTAAAAGCTCTATCCTTTCCTCTCACATTAAACCAGGAGAACTGCATCCACCCCCCACAGTGGTCCTGGCAATGAAGTGGGCTCACAGCCCCACAGCTATTCTCTTTAGGGCTGGCCAGGGAAGGGAGGCAGCAGAGGAGGGAGAGTGTGAAAAACACTTTTCACCTTCTTAAGCTGCAGTGCTGCATTTGAGTGGTGCAGAAGCATAACTGTGTTGTTAGGTAAAAAAAAAGACAGACAGCTTTATGGACTTTTTCACTAGTCTGTCAGGCAAAATCAAAAGAGATACAAATTTGTTCCCTTATTGCTTGGCGTGGTACGGCGCTAGTTATGATTGTGCCACTGTTGCACTCAAAGATGCAAATTATGTGGTAAAATCACTTTTTAGCCTTTCATGTACTAAACATGGAAAAGGTAACTAGGTTCTCCAGGCTTTGTTTTTAATTAGATTTTCAGGTGTTGCAATCACTTTTTAAAAATGCCCTAAAGTCACTGCTGAGACAGTAAAAGCAGCCAAGATGCTAAAAATAAAGGAAGCTGAACTCTGGAAGGCAGGATGCCTTTAACTGTTTCATGCTAAGACACTAAACTTGCTCACAAATGGGGCACTGGCAGTTTATAGAGACAAGAGACAAATGGTGCAGAGTTTACCATCCCTTAGAAACAACTACTGAAAAAACCACATGCACGTGAGAAAACTCTCTGAAAAAAATCCAAGGTTTCCTAAATGAAGCTTCATCAAGTTCCTTTGCAGGTAGTATATTATTGCCACAACCTGTTCCTTGTATGAGCAGCAACAAACAGAAGAGAGCAAGCAGGATTAATTCAAGGGGCTTCCTACCATGTGTTGTACATTTTCACTTTGATACGTACAACCAGTTACATCAGACAAAATTATAAGTACTTATGTGTTTTGTGTAGATTTGTTGGAGGAAGGACATCAGTGCAAGATGCAATACATAAAAAGACACAAAATAAGCAGTCAGTCCATTGATCTCCTAGATATTGCAATGATATGTTCCACTGAGGAAGGGTAAAACAATTCTGGTGCCAGGGAGTGGGGGGAAGCGAGGAGCAGCCTGCCTGCAGCCCAAAAAGCAACAAGCATCTGGATCAGTTCATGCAAGAACATGTCAGCTTGGTGCAGTGCTACTCATTGCAGACATTTCTTCCTTAGTCTGCATCATATCTGTAGTCTAATATTGCCTGTTGGAGGGAGCTCCACAAAGATTCTAGTAGCTAGAAATAACTAGCTTTGGGATCCAATTTGGGCTTTCCAGGAGTCCAGCCCCTGACACCAGAAGTGATGTACAGGAGTTCCTAAGGCACCGACAGCACCCAGGTGTCTCTAGAGCTGTCACCACAACTAGGTTGTTCAGGGTAGTTAAATCTCTCAGTTCTTCTCAAGTCTTCAACTCCATCCCAGAGTCACTTCTCAAAATGAGAGTTCTTCCTCCTGTGGATTTCCTAGATTTTAGGTTCTTAGTAGCACGCTGCCTCTGGCCTTGAGGCACCTGTGTTGCAAGGAGAGCCTTTACAGCATCTTCTGTCTTCTCCCCACATACAGCCTAAAGGGTGCAGTAATTAAAGAAGAGCACCATGGTTGCTTCCAGCAATTACTGTATCAATCGTGGGCTCTGCATTTAAGAATTCTGTGTCCTAAGGTGACTGTCTAAAAAGCTGGGGCTATGAAAAGGTGGGACACTCAACTAATTACTGCTTGTAAAGGTTTGGAGCTCTTGGATGAGCCGTCATGTAGCCTGAAAAAAAGCTCCATAATGGGGTAATAAAAGCCATTTCTTGTCATTCTCCCATTTTTCCACAGTCACACACAGAGGCGTGATGTGCAGTTTTTCTTTTTCTGTTTTTTTCCCTTTCAGGGAAGATTCTTGCAACACAGTGAAATGTAGGATTTTTCTGCAAGCATTTTGGGGTCTGAAAATAGCACCCAGGAGCCACGAATTCATGCATCAGATGGCTAAACGAGTCTTCTCAGCAGTATGTAGGTTTTCATTTCCTTTTTCCTGCTGTTTGTCTTTCAGGTGATGTTTTGTATGAACTCCTTCAGCATATCCTGAAGCAAAGGAAAGCTCGTATGCTCTTCACACCTTTCTTCCACCCTGGGAACTCTATCCATGCTCAGCCAGAGGTCATATTGCACCAGAACCATGATGAAGGTAACTCTGTCTCATTATTAGGGGAGCTGCCATTATAGAGGAGAGGAGGGTAAGGCTGTGAGGAATTATGTCATTCTCTTGCTCCCCAGTTACTTAAATGAAGTTACTCTCCTCACTTTGTCTCCATAGCTTTGGAACAATCACCTGGTCTAGGGAGGCAACTGTCAGTTCTCCATTTATCTTCTGTTATTTTGTCCTGTTTCCAAAGCCTGCTTAAAAGCTATCCCAGATGCAGATTTTTAAAATGCTAGAAAGTTTTACTGACTCCATTAAGTTTTCCTCACTCCCAGTTGAGTAGACAAAGGTGCTTCATGGATTTTTAGTATCCTGGAGATGCAACTAGGTGCAATTGTTAGAGCAAGGGAGAAGGCAACCTCTGAGAGGAACATCTAACACAGTCACTTCAACTGGCAATCTGTCATCCCATCATGCCAGAGTTCCCAGCACTGAGCCCATCATGTTGCTCAGGTTTTGTGCTGCTTGAGCAACTCAAGTTGAGAGAAGGTTTCTTCTGCAGGTTTTGTCTTGTTTTTACTATCAGAATTACTAGCTTAGGTTATTAGTTAGCCTTTTAGTAGGACACTGTGCCCATCATGTTGCTCAGGTTTTGAGCTGCTTGAGCAATTCAAGTTGAGAGAAGTTTTTTTTCTGCAGGTTTTCTCTTGTTTTTACTATCAGAATTACTAGGTTAGGTTATTAGTTAGCCTTTTAGTAGGCTTGCTTGTCAGAGGTGGTGAGGAAAGAATAGATATGTTTGTAGACTTACAGATTTGGACTTCTACTCATTATTGGTACAGATCAAAATGTAAGTCTGCTTCCTTCAGTGGAAAATTGAGGGTATATGTTCTTTAAAAATATATACACTAGAGTATTTCTTGGTTTTCTCCAATAACAGAAAAATACAAAGCCTGAGATTTTTAGATCCTTTCCATGAAAGCATCAGGAAGAATTCACTTTTTCAATTTTTAAAAAAAAAATCTAGGAGAAATTAGTATTATTAATTTTTTAAGTAAGCAGAAAAAATGAACAGAAGTGAGTTAGGGTATCTCCCTAGTCTCTACTAACTGAAGAAAAGGTGCATAGATTATTTCAAGGTTCAATGTGGAATTGCAAGAGGAGATTCAGGGGTACTGTCAGCCCTGTACAAGTTGCCCATGACCAGCTTGAACAAGCCAGAATCAAATGGCACCACCAGCAACTGAGACCAAGCCAAGAGCAGGACAGCAGTGGGTGGGATAAGGACACTGCAAACTATTTCCACACAGCTGAGTAAATATTTCAGATTAGAAGAGGGTGCCTGCAGGTCAGGATGAGGTTGAACTGGCAGAGTTGTGCAAGAGACAGTTGCCTAGTGTGTTAAAATAGGCATTTTCCAGAGACCATTATTAAAATCTCAGTTTTTTTTCCTGAAGCTTGGCATTCACCTACCAGTGTTCCCTTTCAAAATTTCAAACAGAAACACTAGCTGCCCTCTCAGACACCCCTGCACTAAAGGTGTGGAGCAACTTTCACTCTTGAGAGGATTTCACAGTCCTGTTCAGTCAGTCTTTCATGTGTGTCACTTAAAACATAAGTCCTTTGCCATCTTAGCCCAACTTCTGTCAGAACACAGGATGATTAAGAAATAGCTTTGTTTTTTTCCTCACAATACTCTGCCTGCTGATAGTATTGCTGGGTTTCCTTGGAGAACTCTGCTATTGCTTAAAACTTTACTTTATAATGACAAAAATTAGTTCTTGTTTTGCTGTGAGAGGAGCTTCAAAATGAGCAAAAGAATCTGCAGCTTGCCTGCTATAAGACTCAGAGCAATCACAAAATCTCTGTGCTAAGAATCTATAGGCAGGTGAATTTATTTTTTTTGATGTATTTTGACGTTCCTTCCTCCTGTTTCACAGAGTCACTTGGGAGAGACTAGCACAACTGAGTTTACCATTTTCCCTCAGCAGAATGCAACTTAGTAAAAAAGGAGAATGAATGTGAGAAGCAGAACTCAACCCTGCCTAACTCACAAGCTGTAACAAGAGGGGTCCAGTGGTATTTTGGTGCAGTTTTGAGTGTTAAACCTTGTAGGTGATGGATCTTTTTTAGAAGCCTTCCTTACTCCAGTGATGTTCTCTCAGTTTTCTTCTACTGGCTGATTTGCCCATTTCCTAACAGATGACACACTTAGGATTCTGCTTCTAAATGCTGGTAGTTAATCCAGAATTGGATGAGACCAACGTTTACATCTAGTGGCTTTTTCCTAGCTAGTCAAAGTGGGTTTGACTGAAATGGCTTGACAGAGGTTTAGGGTATCTCCATGATGCATTGGCACTGGATTGGAATGTGCCCTGTGGGCATCAGCCTCTGTCCTTGTAGAGGGATGAGCAATGGAGAGTGAATTACCTACAGCTCCAGTGGTCCTTCTGACTCAGCTCTGAGTCATTTGATGGGATGCCATACAGGAAGCTTACACTGCCATTCTCTGCACTTCTTTTATGGCTAAGCAGAGTGCCAATCTTTGGGATTGTCACACCAGCAATTGCTCACTCCCAGAGTGAGTGCAGCCCCACCCATCCCTGTATGCTTCAGTTGGGTCAGCAGTTTTCCTGGGAGAGTTTCTCTGTCACAGCTTTGCCTTCAAGACGAGAGTGTTGGTCACTCAGAATGAAGAGCCAAACTGATGAGTGAATCTATTCCTGCAGGAAATGATGTACCACATGTGCTCAACTTACAGCCATCAGATGTGCCAGGGAGTGAATGTGATGAGGATATTAGTCTGTTGAGGGTCATTCGTGGCAGTGGAGCTGCTTAGAGCTGGGTTTGAGTGGTTTGATGGTAAACTGAAACTTTGGCCATGAGGGAATTCTTCAGTTAACTATTAAAGAGAAAGATCTTGGAGGAGAGTGAACACTAGTGTGTATTCATTCATGGCTTTCCCTCTTGCTGTTTTTTAAAGGGTACCTTGGTCCCTGACCTGTCCTGGTTCAGGATCTCCACGGTTTGGGAGCAGGCAGACAGGTCTTCTGGTTGGAGCTTGTCAGAGCAAACCAACTTTTGCAGAGAGCCTGGGAAGGCACAGCAAGGCATTCCTTTCTGCCTTCAAGATAGCTGCTCCCCACAGCCAAGGCACTTCTAAATAAGTAGGACAAACAATACAATATCCTGGTCTGTATTTGCAGACCAAGAATGAGCACAGTGCCTTTAAATGTACAGTGTTGGGGTGGATGGTCTGTGGAAGATAGGACACTGCCTAAAGTTGGGGGGCTGGTTTTCTTTCTCTTGTGGCAAGGAAAAGAGACTTTAAGAAAAGACAGCCACAGAGGTAGGTACAGTTTTAAATTAATTCCTCTTTGATCTTCACATCATTTGGGCTGTCTCACATTACCTGGCCACATTGTATTTAAAGCTGTTTGGGTTTAAAGAAGAATATATATAGCTCTGGAGTTTTATGTCCTCCAGCTGTTTCATTGTGAGCACCTTAAATGGCTCTACGAATGCATTTTTCTTGTCTGGGGCCACGAGTATGTGAAGTAAGTGTTCTGCAGCCATGTAGTTTCTGCCTGAATTTTCAGGTTTTCCTGTATACTTCAGTGTCCACGTATAGATGAACAGCCCACTGAGCAGGCAAAAGGGTTGGTGCTATGTCCCTGCCTGGCACTACATTTTGTCAGGACTTGAGCTGCTCCTGTTCAGGCCTTTCCCTAGGTAAATGCTCATCCCTTTCCTGATGCCTGCCCGGGTTCCAGGGCAGAAGAAGCCCATGGCTCTTCCCCTCAACACTGCCTTGACAAGAGAGCAAGAGAATTGTTCGAGAGGATCAGAGCAAATGGAGTGAGCAAATAGGCAGCCACAAATAGGCAGCTACTTGTTTCAGTTGTTGACCTGTACCCAGCAGTTTCCTTCTCTTATCATCCAAGGATTTCAACAAAAGAGCACTTGAAATTTGATCTTTGTTTTTCAGATAAAAACCTGTTAGTCACTGCACTCTGGTGGCATTTTCCTTTTTGTCAGTAATTTCCCAAGTCAAAATTGATGGCCTGAAAGCTGAGAGTTTGCAGTGTTTATGCCAAGCATTTTGGTTTGTGAAGGGATTGTTAGTACATGAAGACACTGACCTAGATCCGTGATTTATCTCCCCTCTACTGTTAAGGATCACAGCTAAGGAAGTATGCTCATGCAAAAGCAATGGTAGAAGTCATGCTGAAGAAATGCAAGTGCTTACGTGGGACAACCCATCAGTAGATAGAACAGACTAAGTGAAACAAGGTGAAAATATCCTTATAAAGATGTTACATGCTCTTAAAATCAAGGCAGGGTAAAATTTAGGTAGTGTTTCACAAAGAGCTTCCTACCAGTGGAGTTTTTCAGATAACCCAGTCCATATTTCAGACTAAGATATCCTCTAAACTTAATCCAAGCTTCTACCCTCTTACTACTTACCAATATCTTACTACCCAATATCTTCTTGGAGACCTATTCCCTTTCTATCTCTGCCCTCTACTTTATAATGCTCATCATGGTACAATATAGGAACCACATGTAGAGACATGAATGGCAGGAGGTAAGTTTCAAAGCATGTGCACAGAAACACCATTAGGACAGCTGAATCAAATCTTGCTTTCTTCATGTGTGTTCCAGTCAGCTTCTCAAAGTGAGATTTCTCTTAACACGTTTCCCAGGGAACAACCATTACCTGGTGGCAGAGGGGGATTGTTTTCACAGTACTGGTTTCATTCCATGCAGTCATAACTATCTGCATTAATGTGGCATTTTTCTGGGCACCTGTAGGTCACACAAATAAAAGCATTTCCAAGCTGTCAGCAGCACCCAGTAAACCCAGTTAGCAGTTTGACAGTTAGATCCTACACCTTGATGACAATATAGACACCCTGCATGTTTGGGTTTTTTTCTCCACAGATAGCTTCGTCCAGAGACCTTCAAGACCATCCACAGAAACAGTCCACCACAACCCCCCAACCATTGAACTGTTGCATCGTTCTAGATCACCCATCACCAACAACCACCGTCCATCCCCAGACCCCGACCAGCGGCCGCTGAAGTCCCCCATGGACAACACTATCCGCCGCCTGTCCCCCGCTGACAGGGTGCCGGGGGTGAGGCATCAGCAGGAGAACAACCACCAGGAGCCCTATCCTCTCTCAGTGTCCCCCATAGAAAACAACCACTGCCCGCCTCCTTCTGAAGTGCTCCAGAAGCCCTCCAGCCCTCGCCAGGAGAACACCAGGGTCATCCAGCTGATGCCCAGCCCTATCATGCATCCTTTGATACTGAACCCCAGGCACTCCGATTTCAAACCACCCAGGTTGTCTGAGGATGGGCTGCACAGGGAGGTAAAGCCAATCAACCTGTCCCACCGAGAAGAGTTAGCTTACATGAACCACATCATGGTGTCTGTATCTCCTCCCGAGGACCATGCAATGCCAATTGGAAGAATAGCAGGTAAGTGACATTATCTAGGCTGCACCAAAGCTGATGCTCTTCATTCATGACTAACCTTGCTGTGTATTAAGAGCTCCTGGTTTCTTTTTGCTACTCTGTGACCTCGGGAGTTTACTGGCACCCTGTGAGTTTCACTACGTCTGTGGTTTAGACAGTTAAATATGATTAAACTAGTTTCATGGCAGGTAAGCAAAGGTGCAGAGTGACTTGCTCATGACCACAGAATGCGTAATTGGTACTGAAACATTTGTCCTAACACTCACTGCCTCTCTACCCCTAGCAATCCACTTGTTTCCCAAGGTACCTGTCTCCAAAGCCCTGTCCTGCAAAGAGGTCATTTTCCACTAGTTGCATTCATATTAGTGTCCAGTCCTATGGAAGGGAAAAAACCTTCTGTCAGTGGCCTTTGAGAGAATGCAGTGCCTGCTGTTCAGCTTGCTGCTGTGGAGATGGCAAGATTAGTGAAGTATCACCTCAGAGTCCTGCTTCACAGGCTTTCCTGTGCTTCTCACCCGAGGATTGTCCCTTCTTACTGAAACAAGGGTGCCTTTGTTCCACACAGACCACAAGCATCCTCCCACTTTTGTTATCGTAAATAACTGACATCACAGCAGCTGAATCAGGAAGCTGAGGTTACAGAAAATGGTTTTTGTTCTTGAAAGGAACTGTAAATAGGTAGGGAGAGGTGGAAGGGGAATCCAGACACTGCAGAAACACACTGAATGCCCCAGTAACTGATTTCTTTTGAGAGATGTAAATAGGCACCACACCTTCCAGGCATTTATGTCAGCAGCCAGTTGAGGTTTCAGGTGTTACACAGAGGCTGTATCTGCATGCTTAACTGCTTTCACTTTCAGTCTCCTGCCTTTGCTTAGACCCACCAGCAAGGGTGGCATGTCTTAAAAGAACTGATGGAGTGTTTCATGCTAGAAAGACCTAAAGTGTACTCAGGCCTTCAGTTCAGATGAAGGCAGTGCTCTGTGGCCAGCAGTCGGGTGATTACATAGCTGGCAGTTGCTGGCATCTTAGATTTCTCTGGATAAATCTGCCAGTCTACTTCTGTCAGTGCCCTAGGTCCTTTAATTGTAAATGCCAACAAACCTCAGTTGCTGTACAGGCACAAGCTACTGCTGTTCTGCTTGGGCTGTAGTGGTTCCAGAACTGTAGCTGCACCTTGTAAAGAGCTCACAGCCAGTTTAAAGGTGGCAAAACCCAGATTACTACCAAAAATGTAGACAGCCCATATTTCATACCTGAAGTCAGCTTCATTAATTCTATTGAATTCAATGGCAGCAGACTTAGGCCCACTAGAAAGGATATGCCTTTCTACCTGCTTCTCACCCATCTCACAGCCTTCAAATTACAGCTCTTGCCACTAAGTGATTCCCTTTAAAGAGCATTTCTTTTTTATGTCAGCATGCATCTGTTTCCCACGTGGATGTCCTTACCTTCCCTGACACTGCTATAGTTAGTATGGAGGCTTTTGACCAACCATGGCTTGCCACTTCAATTTGAGAGAGACCATGAAGGTGGTTTTAACTCTTAACTGCACATACACATCCAAACAGATGCACTGGCAGAAAGAGCTTTCCTAAATCACTGGCTTTATTTCAGTTTTATGAGTGAAGAAGACTGATGGGTTGGGTAATTAAAAGATTTACCAATAGTCCATGGCCAGAGCTAAGTAATTCCCCACTTACACTGGTGAGAAGGGAACTCTGACTTTCCTCTGGCTTAACCATTTGCATGCAGGTAGCTTTCAGGGGAGACAGGGATGAGGAGCAGCTACCAGGGAAGTCCCATGGGCTGCTGACTAAAACACTGGGCTGAGCTCCAAAACATGTTCTATTCCCAGCTCAGGTATTTTACATTGTAAAAGGAATTCTTCCCAGACTTAAGATACCTCACAGCCTCATAAACCTGTTTACTTGTAGATAGAGTCTGTTTTTTAAATGCAGCACACAATTACTTGGTGCTGAGCAAGGAGACAATGTTTTCACTTGCTGCTGTCCACAAACACTCTGTGTTCAGGAGGTGGATCAATAGAGCTCTGGACTTCCTGTCAGACAAAATAATGACCTCTACTCACTGCCTGACTAATCTATCCTACCTTTTTTATGTAATATCATTCCTCAAAATACTAATTTTACTGGTAAAGCAATTCCCTTTTACAGCAAAGAATTTCAAATTGAAGGTCTTACTCTTTTCCTCTAAGGCCGTTTTACACTTTTCTAGCAAAGCAAGAGGCATAAAGTATCTTTATGTTACTCATTAAAGTTCCATATATTATTCATCAGTGGCAAGAGTTGATTAAAAAAATTATGTTTAGCTATCTTCTTGTCTGTAAGTTTGTCAGAATTAGAGGTCATTGAGATGATCCAAAGGCAGACTTGCATCCACTGTAAATCCACGAGACAAGACTTGAGGTGACTAACTGAGGCATCAATAGTCATCTAGCTACAACAGCACTCAAAAATACTAAAAATGCCTGAGAAGGGGAGTTTGGCAGAGCAGTGTAACAGACAGCCTTCCCCACTGGAGCTGCTAATTCAAAACAGCAACAGCCTCTCTCTGTAGTCAGCTCCTAACTTGGACTCTTGCAAACAGGCAGTCGTGAGCTCTGAGTTTTTAATAGCCCAGCTTGGTTCCCCTCAGATGCTCTCAAAGGATTTCACCCTGTGTGGAAAAAAATATACTCTTTTTTCCTATTTCTTTTTTTTTAAACATTTGCAGTTTCAATCAAGAGAGGCACCTCAAAATAGTTCTTCTGCAGAATGGAAATTCCACTCCCTACACACCTCTGACTGGGAGGGTTTTGTTATCAGACGTGTTAGGACTTTGATATCTCATAAAAGGTACTCCCCAAGGTACAAGGAAAGGCAGGGTTTGAACGTTGGTAGGCGTTGGTAGGTGGTTGGTTGGTCTGGTGGAACCACAGCCACCAGAAACCCTCCCTGCAGCCATCCTGAAGTTCTGTCCCCGTGGCTTTCCTTGGGAGCTCTGCTGCTGAGTTCAACCAGGGCAGGTTTTCACCATAAAACTTTATTTAGGTGTCAAAAATACCTTTTTTTTTCTCAGATACCCATATCCACCTCAGCTTGGTAGCATGCAGGAAGATAGGAACTGACATACTAGATCTCAGCAGAAACCTGTCTGTGTTTTAGAGGAAGACAGAGGAATTCCTGCAAGAGGGTGACTGCAAGGGTGTGGAAAGCAGAGTGCTGTGGAGCAGTGGTAGGTGCAGCTGCACTGCCCCCAAGGGCTCCCTGTTCTCCTGGAGCTGGGACCCAGTAAACCCCACTGAGTCTGTCAGGTTCACTTTGTGTGTGTCTGAGGCAGACCTATTTCTCTTGCACAAGCAGCTCAGAAGGAGGAGTGTTGTTATTCCTCTGCAGAGCCCCACCCTGCCTGTTGCTTCCCATTCTGCTCTGCACTTGGCGAGGGGTAAATCTAAAGGCAGGTGAGTCTGGTGCCTTTTGTTGTCTATTGGTATGCTGTTCTTATCAGCTGGGTTACCTTAGCAACTGGGCTGTATCTGACTTTATGAGCTGCCAGATATGATTCTTCCCCTTCAGGAGGCTGAGGGAAAGCCAGGTAATGTTTGAACTGCTGAGAGGTGCGTTGTCTGCCACTGTGTTGGTTTGGCCCATAAAACTATCAACTGCTGTAGAAATGAAGACAGGCAAGATTCTTACCCTGCCAAAGTCATGAAAGAGATCTACCTCCAGCTCTGCTCCTGCCATGGCTCAGCCATGCACTCAGAGAGTGCAGGGGTGTAGCATGAACCCAGCAGAACTGTAGCAGACAAGGGTAAGCAACTCCTCAGTAAAAACAGCCTGATGGCCGAAACTGAAAATGCTGTCCCCTGTTAAGAGCACATCAGCTATGAATGACTCATATTCTACCAAAATCTACAGAGCAGTGCTCATGATGGGTGTAGGCCGTGTGCTAGCCCTGAGCATGGGGAGCCCTTCCACTCCAGAGCTCTGTAAGAATAGTAGTTTGGTTGTTTTATATGGGGAGAGAGGTTGGAGGGGGAACAGCACCAGGGATTCTCCTCCCCCATTGTCTGAAAAGTGTAATCACTTCTTATAAACTAGCATGGGAGGGGGAATGGCAGGAGGGGTTAGTTGAGTGAATCTTTCAAAATCATAGTGCTTCTAAAGAAATGCTCCTTTGCAGAGGACAAGTGCTGACAAACCCAGCTGCAGAGATTTAGCTTTTGTCACGTGCTTTCATAGAGGTAGCCTGTTTTTTCAAGACAGCACATATCATTGCTGTTACCATAGGACCCTACCTGTATATATGCCTCAAACTGCCCAGACTACCCTTAACACCATTGTGGGACATGATCCCAGCAGGGTCTGACAGCAGAGCACTGACTGGTGGGCTCTGGGGAAGCACAGACTTTGGGGCAACTGTGACAAGACAGTGTCAGCAGCTGAACAGCCTGGCAAACTACAGAAAACCAAAGTAGTGGTTCACTTTAGCATGCTAAGTTGTAAGCAGTGAGGGTTCAGTGCCTGCTTTCTGGGCAGCTGACCCTCCTTCCCATAGGGCAGCAGCTCATACAGACAGATTGGAGCCTTCAAAGAACTTGAGAACCTCAGTGTAGGCATGGCCTGTCACTCCCATTTGGATGTGGCAGTGATAATGTCACTGGCCTTGTTTAATCACTTGCAGTCATGTACAATTTACATTTGCAGTATACACCACATTTATTTCAAGCCCTTTGTGGAAAGCCAGACTACTGTAAAGAGAATCAAGCTCACAGAGTTCATATTCTTAGGAGTTCTCCCTATAACCTTGAGAGTCATCTTAAGGTGGCATGAGCAATCTCAGCATGAACATGTGCCTTCCCTGCCAGTGTCACCAGCAACACTCAAGACTCCATTGGAGTCAGCAGGATGTTAAACATGTTTTTAAGAAACCAGCCTTTTATTTAAAATATACCCCTTCTTCTCCCTCTCTATGCCCCACTTTCTTCAGGCTAAAGTTCT